TGCTAGGACATGACTTTCTTAAGCTTCATAAGTCCCTGGAAATCTCATTCAACGGTGACAAACCTTCTTTTTCCCTTTGTGGTCTAATTGCTGCCAAAATTGAACCTCCCACTTTGTTCGAGCATATTGACCCAAGGTGTAAGCCAATCGCCATAAAGTCCAGGCGACATTCTGCAGACGACGAGGCCTTCATTGCTTCTGAAGTAAAGCGTTTACTTGACCAACACATCATTGAACCCTCGAAGTCCCCATGGAGAGCGCAAGTGCTCGTCACGACAAATGAACGACAGAAGAAGCGAATGGTGGTTGACTATAGTCAAACTATAAACCGATTTACGCAACTAGACGCTTATCCGCTCCCCAGACTTGAAGATTTAAGTACTAAAATAGCTCAATATCGTATTTTCAGCACGCTTGATCTTGAAAGTGCGTATTATCAGATACCCATTAAAGAAAGCGACAGAATCTACACGGCTTTTGAGGCTTGCAACAACCTCTATCAGTTCCGTCGAATACCTTTCGGAGTAACGAATGGGGTAGCCTGTTTTCAAAGGGTAATGGATGACATAATACGCGCCGAACAACTTACCGGGACATATGCGTATGTGGATAATGTTACCATTTGTGGAAAGAATCAAGAAGAACATGATCGAAACCTCCAGCTTTTCCTCACCGTAGCACAAAAGTACGGCCTTCAGTTAAATCACGATAAAAGCACGATTTCCACCACTAAGCTCAGACTCCTCGGCTATGAAATTACTGAAGGTATCATCAAACCAGACCCTGAACGCTTCAAGGTATTGCAAGAACTGCCCGTTCCGAACGACATCAAGTCTCAACAACGAGTGGTAGGATTGTTCGCGTACTATTCTCGTTGGATAAGCCGTTTCTCGGATAAGATCTACCCAATCACTCACAATACAACCTTTCCTGTCCCTGAATCTGTTATAAAAGCATTTGAAAGTTTGAAAAAGGAGTTGATGGATGCAGCCTTGGTCACTATCGACCCGAGAATACCTTTGGTGCTCGAAACTGATGCATCTGATGTCGCGATTTCTGCTACACTCAATCAAGATGGCAGACCGGTCGCATTCTTCTCACGTACACTGTCTGCCAGCGAAAAACACCATTCCGCTATTGAGAAAGAAGCGTGCGCAATTGTCGAAGCAGTGCGCAAATGGAGGCATTACCTACTCGGGACCCATTTCAAAATTATAACTGATCAGCGATCCGTTGCATTCATGTACTCAACACAACAAAAAGGGAAAATAAAAAATGACAAAATCCAACGGTGGCGGATGGAGTTGTCGCCTTTTTCTTTTGACGTTACCTACAGACCAGGCATAGAAAACAAAGCTGCTGACACGCTTTCTCGAAGTGTCTGTGCGAACACTTCATCTAACCTGGATCTAAAACGCTTACACACAACCCTGTGTCATCCTGGAGCAACACGCATGATGCATTTCGTTCGTGCCAAGAATCTACCATTCTCCCTAGAGGATATCCGACTCGTCATTAAGCAGTGTCAAGTGTGTGCGGAACTAAAACCACGTTTCTTCAAGTCATCTGGCGGTACCCTCATTAAAGCCACACAAACGTTTGAACGCTTAAGCATTGACTTTAAGGGACCACTGCCTTCGACGACTCGAAACAAATATCTACTGACGATCGTAGACGAATATTCCCGTTTTCCGTTCGCCTATGCATGTCCAGATATCAGTTCGTCTACGGTGATATCATGCCTTGTGCCACTGTTCGCCACATTTGGCCTGCCAAGTTTCGTGCATTCGGATCGTGGCTCATCATTCATTTCGGATGAGATCAAACGATTTCTTCATGAAAAAGGTGTAGCCACCAGTCGGACCACTCCATATAATCCAAGGGGGAACGGCCAGGTGGAAAGATTGAATGGAACTTTGTGGAAGGCTATTACGCTTTCATTACGATCAAAGGGTCTTCAAATCAGTCACTGGGAAGCCGTTTTACAAGACGCTCTCCACTCGATTCGTTCTTTGTTGTGCACGGCCACCAATGCTACTCCACACGAGCGGATGTTTCATCACAATCGAAAATCCGCAGTCGGTACGTCCTTGCCACAGTGGTTGCTTTCCCCAGGACCAGTTTTGATGCGGCGAAACACACGATCTTCAAAGTACGACCCCCTAGTCGAAGAGGTCGAGCTCCTGGAATGTAACCCTGAGTACGCATATGTCAGACGCCCTAACGGCATGGAAGAAACGGTCTCCCTACGCCACCTGGCGCCTTCAGCAGATTTCGGATGTGCTCCAGCATCCGAACAGCAGCAACCGGAGTCCAACGCTGATTCATTTATTAAGCCGGAACTATCTGACTCTGCTTCGGAAAGTGAAATGTCGAATTCTTCTGAACACCCATTGGTTATACAACAACAGCGGACACGGCCGTATGTCCTGCGCAACAGAGAGGCCTGACATTATTCAATTATAAATTAAACTCTTGAGAACTTTCATCTCTGCGGGGGGTGAATGTTGTATATTTGCTCTGTTTTTCAAACGTTTCATCATTTATTGCTAAATCACTTTCTTCCGTTTTCAGCTCTCAGTGTCAAAGTTTTGGACGAATAAAGCCTAACTTTCGGGCCCTCAGTCTTTTCCACTGTCATTCTGATTGTCGTTGCACTCCGACCCTCGTCGTACACAACAATACTACACTGCAAACGCAAACCCCTTTAGGGCCTTATGGCTGACCTGACAAGCACAGGTTCAGGTGATGGGCAACCGCTGACAATCAAGGTTTTGGCAGGGGTAAGCACAACGATGCCCTCATAACCGACGCATGATAGCATCAAACGCTCTGAGACAAAGTGCAAAAGTGCATGACCGCCCGCAACTACCAAAGCAAGTACTCAAGATACTCACCCGCCAGCAGTACAGATGACCACTCCCGGTGACATCTTCTGTATTGCTCATGTCCTATGAAGCTCCACATACATCGAGGCGAAAGCTACTGGCCGCCAACAAGCATGCCAACACAAGCGAATTCGGCCAACGGCTGGCTCTCAAAACTGATTTACGCCGTCTGTTTATATGGTTTCTTGTTACTGCTGCTGTGTACAGATCCATCGTTTGTGTCCATAGTTTGAGTTTTCCCTAACCCGACCGTCCCAGTCCCTACCTTCAGCTGTACTAGTCCCCTACGTGTTCACTCGCCAAGGGTTTACGTCCGGTAAGCTAAGTGTTTTGACCAGCTGTACCGTCCTCAGCAAGGCCGACCTCGTACAGGCATATCACCAGATTCCAGTTGCGCAAGACCAGCCAGAACTGTGGTTGCCACTCCAATCAACCTGTTCGAGTTTCATCTTTAGATTACGAAATGTCGTACAAACCTTCCGGCGTTTCAGTAACGATGTAACTTGTGGTCTGAATTACGTCCATCCAAACAGTGACGACATCCTTAGCACCAGCCCTACCCTTGAAAAATATAGGGAAAACCTACGAAAGCATCTTCAACAGCATGGCCTTACAGTGAATATGGCTAAGTCCAAGCCTGTTGACGCCTTACTCATATTTTGAAGCAACAAAATCGATGCAGCCGGAATTCACCAATTCACTTCGAGTGTCCAGGACATCATGAACTATCTGGTGCCTACAGTAAAAGGCTCTACGTCGTTTCAACTGCTTGACTAACTACCACTGTAGCTCTATTCCTAACTGCGATAAACTGCTCCAGCCACGTGGTGAGCCACTTGTGATACCACTTTCACGGATGGCACCTTGCTGCCGGCAATGCAGCCGAAGCACTAGCTTCTGTGGCTCTTTCACACTACCAGGATCTTAAGCATTCATCAGCCATGTGGTGGATGCTTTGGCCTGAGACCAAGTACCAGCAGGCTAGAGCCCGCTGGCTTTAGTCACTAACCCAACTCAACCTTATATGTCCTATAATTCTGGCTCCCCAGTCACGCTGGGGGTTGAGGATGCTCCGAACGGAGATAAAGTCTTAGAAATTGATACTGAAATTGTTCGGCTGTCGCGCCCTTTCGGTGCCTAACTTCCATGCCACCAGAAAGGAGCACGAGAGCTGGGATACTGTCAGAATGCCCCAAGCCTAGACAGGGGAAATAGAAAGATAGATCGGGTTCGAACCACGGACTTTCCGGTCAATACATTCGAGCCATAACCACTGAACCATCCCGCCCAACCGTCCGCAACACCTCCCAAGCACAAGAAGTTTGCTAGACATGGAACTGTCGCTCGTCATTAACTGTGTATACCGCAGAGTGAGTTGTTATTCATTATCCCTATCCCTCACGCTATACAGACGCTATCACTTATTTTCTGTGGTTTTCGCCTGTTAGGGTCAACTTGATACCTATTCGAGTTCCTAGCCAGAACAGTCCATGGCCTTCGAATCTGATGTTGCATACGGCTGGAATGCTGTTCGCCCGCTTGAGTACTCACTCACTCGTACAGGCACAAGACAGATTCACCAAGTGAAGAGAGACAATCTAGCAGTGTCTGCGCGCCTCCTGTCACACACTGGGCCTTCACGTTAGGTGCAAGGCGCGCGGCCCGACTGCCCATCCAATGTAAGCAAACGAAAGAAAAATTCTCTAAGTGGTAGAAGAAAGATCCTTCTTCCGGACTCCATCCTCGCAGTTCGACAGTGCCACACATAAAGACTTCCCCGTCCCTGAGTAGAGAGCGGTTTTTGTCATACGAACTACATCAAGTTATCACGTTCGTTTGAGTAGTTTGCTTTGCGAAAGGTCGATCAACCTTCTTTGTGAAAGTAACATGGAGTAGGAACTTACTAGAGCTAGGTTTCAGTTAAGTCAACCCCGACTTTTCTGCCCTAAATGTACCCCAAATGCTCGCACGTACGCTTTGACCCCGCAATATACTTCCCCCACACAGGTCTGTGTATGAACCACCGGCCTGGTGTAGAACAACGGTATCACACTGAATAGTGATTCTCATTGGCGGGTTAAATTGTCAGATCAAATGCATCTAGGAACTCACCTGGTTCCGCACAGGCTGCTTTCCGTGGAATGCGTAAAGAAGATAAAGAGCACATATCCGCCCAAGGTGTGTTCTATCTTTATGCGGTTGTACCAAATCCACCAAACGATAAAACAGACAACCCAAAAGGTCACTTAGTCCGGCTTGATTTTGACGCCCATAAATGAGGTGTATGAATTTTTCCTGGCACCAAAGTTCAGAAAACTGTGTAAACCTTATCCCACCAACATGTTCAAATTTCTGAATGAATGCGCTCAAATCTTCGTCGATGCCGTGGATTGGGTTGAAGGACGTCCGGAAAACGAATGGCTTTATTTCTTTCATGAGTAGAATGTTCTCAGAATTTCACAAGTACAACCCACAAACCGTACAAGTTGCCCCTGAGTGACATGTGAGTTTCTTCCAAAAAGATTAGCAGAGAGCTTCACAAGAGGCATCAAGCGAGAGCGTCGAGCTTTCGGCTGGGCAATCAGCAGGAGCCTGAAACAATGTTTCGTACCTGATTGGTCAAAATTGGGTGGGATATGCCGTTAGGACTATGTTTACATACGAGTGGGAGGGTGAGCTAGTGACTCATTGCGTTAAATTATCGCATGCGCTCACAGAACCATGTTCCAGGACTTCACTGCAGAGCCATAATATTGCGCATTTTCTTGTGTGCTCCAATTCAGCTGACCGTTCTGCGGTGGTCTAGATTAGGGGGTCAGTAGCTTTACTGAATGCATCACGAGCTTCTCGTGGATCTGACCAACCCACTTGAGATCCAAGCCAGAGACTCAAAAAGCGCTGACTCTTCGGACGTGAGTGTTGCTTAAAGGCCTGCCACTAGTTTGGCAGGACGATAAACTATTTTCATAATGGATACAGTTTGAATGGCTGAAGTCAAAGACCACTGTTCACTTTCTTCTTCATTTTCCGTTGTTCTCCTGATAAATTTGCGCTTTTTACCCCGGATGCTAATTTCAAACTAGGTTGTTTAACTCTAAGCCTATAAGGCTTCTCAACCACTTTAGATACCTCTAGATTGTAAGGGACAGTACAGACGAAAACGTCCATAGCATGGTCTTTCGCGAGGTGAGACCTGTGAATCCGGTTGTTTCGTCTTTTAATTATATTCCTTGTTCAACCTTGCCTGAAAAAATGTTTTCCTCAGTTTGTCTGGTTAAAATAGAAGAAGTCTCTTCATTTAGCCGGGGATCTGAGTCTTCTTGATTCTTTACGTAGTAGGCGTGGTCGTCTTGTGGCCAACCATTCACAGTGCCGCGCTTCTCCATCCTCCTGTGGAACAGCACGTCACTCCTTCGGGACTATCAGGTTGTTGTGGAACTGGTGCCTGTTCACGGATGTCCATTCACCATACCTCTGATTTGTTGATCACATAATTCTCCTTTGTACTTACGTCTCCATACGCCATCTCAATCACACCGGCCAGAAGGCTACCACTGAATACCCACTCGAACACTCGTTCCTATCAGAGGCTGGCAAACCACAGGCGACTGGTCTGACAGACTCAACGGTTTATCCAACCCAAAGCAGTTCTGTATAGAAAATTTTCCACCTGCGACCAAGAGTCGATCCATTTAATGATCAAGACGGCCACATGTAACCAGACAATATAGTCAGGAGGACGATTAATCTTTTTGTCTGCGGCTTTCCACGATCTTATAAAAAACCCTCACCACTGCCAAGAATCTATTCCTGATCCTGCTTGCCACAAAGCCCATTCTTAGAATGATTTCTGTGAGTCGGTTCGTCAGAAAATTCCACTGTCGCTTCCCGCGTAATATTAGCTTCCCACCAAAAGGATCAACGTCTGATATGTCCACCAAAATGTTGTGGGGTGATTCAAGCGGCACGCTCTTTCCTCACGCTTCATCTCCACGGGCTCTCTCCATCACCTCGTCCTAAACAGCAAATATTAATATAACTCATCGAGAATGATGCTAGTCGCACATCCGCCTATCGGACAGACAGAGAACTATTAGCCAATTAAAATATACTGTCCCTGAGGCATAAAATACCCAAGTAACAAAGCCCCGTATTTTGTGAGAAGGAATGTCTCCACTACTAAACGCGCCTCCTTGTCCAGTCATACCGACTCACTTGAAGTATATGAATGCCCGACGCGATTTTCCTGGATTTTGGAGTGGACGGCACTCGTTTCACAACATAGTCCTGGCGCGTAAACAAAATTTCCTTTATATACACCTCCGGGGAACATCACTTTCTAATGCGGCCGTCTTCTTGTTAAAGCGGAAGCCTAACCTCCTCAGGTTCATCTTTGAATGGTCCCAGATAACAGTGAAACCTCGTCCTCCGCTAATCCTAGAGGCATCACTGCAGCGGCAGCGAAACTAAAATTTCAAGTTCAGGTATTGCAGAAACTTTTTTGGATTCCAGCCCATCCCTAGGTCTTTAACCATTTTTTATACTGGAAAACCATTTTTCACGCTGGTCCCTCAACTAGCTTCGATCACAGGGGCCAACAGGTTCCCTCCTTCAGTAAGTCTAATCAGTGTTATTTCCCAGTTCATTGGCCATGCTTAGCTCTCGCCTGCATGATCGCCCCATCGACGCGCCGCAACTGTTCCACGCTTCCATAGCCCTATCTAAACTGCCAGCTCACATAGGCAGCTAATATTGATTGTGACCCTCGCAATACCATCCAGAGTTTTCGTACTATCTCAGAGCTCTCTCAAACCTTTACCTCCAAATCAGTTACTCCTCAACCTGCTCCGAAGTATCTCATTATGGCACCGCTCCAGTCTCCCTCCTCAAAGCGGTCGCTAGACGCCGAATCTCCATCATCCGTTTTCCCAGTATGCCCGAAAAAGCGGCTCACAGCCAGAAGACCTAGCTTTCAACCCTCTCACCTTTCGGGGCCGGCAAAGACGGTGCACAGATTGTTCAGTAGTACTGACTGACCTATCTTTGCCTTCCCAACCTGGCAACACTCTTTTCTCACAACTACCAGCAGGACTTCAAGACCTGAAAGACATGAAAATCTCAGTTCAGCTCTGCACAAGATGGAAAATAAGATATCTTTGCTCCAGACCATACGGTCGATTGCATGTGCCCCAAATCCTGACGTAACGTGCAATCCAACCAAGCTAGAAAAAGCGTCCATTATTATTGGCACGATTGCGTCTCACATAATCCCTTGTTTTCTTCATCCTAATCGCGGTAGACGTCAAGTTTCTCCTTCTATGTTTATTAATGCCCAGTATCCCATTTTATATATCCTCATATCCATCATGCTTTACTAATCCCATCCAATCTCCTCGTCTTCCCAAGCTTTGAACTTCTGAAATAACCGGTTCGGACGACCCAGTCGGCCCGTTATCCGCCCCTGGCCTGGGATCTACATCCACAGAATCCCCAAATAGACCAAAAAACCTGCGATCTTATATCTACTTCGTTCCACCTTGTCTTCTTGGTCAGCCTGAAAATAATCCCACTGCTCAACGAATCGCACATCCCAGCCTAACGACTCAAATGTGACGTCCATTACGGAGCCCTCCAAAAACCGAAGTATGTCAGGTCAGTAATGGCACGGCACTGCCATACTCCGTTTGATAGCACACTTGCAAATATTCCCTTCCCTCTCTCGACCGTACCCTCTAGCCCACTCGTCCAATCAACTGCAGATACAAAGAGGATCCCCCCTGACCTCCAGCTGCCTCCAAGACATGTTCANCCGTTCGCATTTAACCATTTTGTGTGTCTGTGCTTCCCGCAAAATTCGACATTTTTCCATATAGTTTATGTTCCGGCTTGTGCGTTGCCATCATCTCACCTTTCCATGGAATTATTATGCCCGACTCAACAACGGCGATACCGGTGAGCCTCTACAGGTTCCCCGTACGCCATGTTTCTGAGATTCCTGCTACCACTTATCCGCTTTGCTAATCCCTCCACTTTATCCCCACTTGCGCTTTTTGTGCCCCTGGCCATGAGCCCAGCAGTCCAAGACCACGAGGTATCAGTCATGATTTGAGGCATTAGTTCAGTTTGCCTGGCTGGATGACGCCAAATCTGCTGCTTCACCAGATCTGATGTTCGGGCTCCTTGATTTTTTGCCGTTAAACCTTTCTTAACATGTGTCAGGCAAGAAGCCTCCTGCTTTGCCCCCTCTCGCTTTGTTGTTTGCCCGGCAATCCAATCTTGCTCAATGTTCTATCCAAAAACGCATAATAACTGTGCTTCCCTGTCCTTGCCGGCTTAGTACTTGTAATGTGCACGCTCTGGAAGCACCAGGGGGCAGTGATTCTCCAAAGGCAGGTGTTCATGACAAATTCTGTGGATGGAAAACAGAAGCAAAGCTCATGAGCCAGAGCCCAGTAAGCAAGGTTGTACATCACCAACATTTACATATGAATCAATCAAAATGACAGGCACCGTATACTACATAATGACAACGCCCACATCGGATGATGTCCACCCCTTATGACGTCCTCCCTTTTCCTAAACCCATCCCGTGCCCACAATCCCCGCCATTCATGCCTTTGTTCTGACTGCAACATTATGATCATGTCTAACGGTATGCCACCACAGGCTGAGAATAAACATTATTATTGTGGTTGAACGAAAACTATAAAACTACATCACCAAATTTACATATGAATCAATCAAAATGACAGGCACCGTATACTACATAATGACAACGCCCACATCGGATGATGTCCACCCCTTATGACGTCCTCCCTTTTCCTAAACCCATCCCGTGCCCACAATCCCCGCCATTCATGCCTTTGTTCTGACTGCAACATTATGATCATGTCTAACGGTATGCCACCACAGGCTGAGAATAAACATTATTATTGTGGTTGAACGAAAACTATAAAACTACAATTTTGGTGAGAGTTTCCCACCTATTCAGGCGATGAATTTTGGTCGCCTACAGTAGGCCACCAGTTTACGTTGGCCACTGGATAAGCGCTCCCTGAAAAGCACGTGGTGAAAATTATCTTCAGCTCCGGGAAATAGGGGAACGTAGTTGAGATTCCGGCCGTCCGGAAATGTGTCGAGTTGAGTTGCCGAAATGGCGGATAGTTCCCATTCCCGCCATCAGAAAAAAACAAGGCCTAATAGTGCTGAGGCTCCGACCATCAGGCAACACAACTCAGCCCATATTTGGAATACTGATATTTTGGCCTCATAAGGGTTCTGAAACCATTCTTGAAATTATCGTATCCAGCTGGGTTTGCAAATATGAAGAATGTACCGGAAGGAATGGATGATTCTGAAGGGACGGTTCGACAAGTAACAATCTCGAATAAATCTTTAACAGTTCGGTTTACTTAGATTTGTTGACTGATTATTGGGGCTTTGACATGTTATTACGGCCCTTAATTGCGTCTGATAAATGTCGTGACACTGGTGGCAACGTGGTAGTAACTTTGAATACGCGATCTCATCCGTAAATCACGACTCAGATCACCCTGTTCATCTAGTAGGAAACCAGCTACACAAACC